TTCCTGCTGGAAGGCAAGCCGGATGAGGTCGGTCAGCCGGAGTCGCCGAAGAGCCATCCGGATGCCGTGCTCAATGCTCGCCACATGCACGGACACGACAACTCCGTGTTCTCCGTGGACGAGACCCTGCCCTCCAACGGTCGTCCTGCCCAACTGCCGCAGCATCTGCAGATGTCCAGCAATGGCTACGACAAGTCCCAGATTTCCCCGCCGCGACAAAATGGCGCGGAGAGCAGTAGACTATAGATTAGCTTAAACTCCGGAGTGTTTTTTTTTTATTAATTAATATTATGGAATTTTTATGCTAGGGCGTTAGGATACATGCTTAAAATTCGGCCAACTGATATTTCGATATCTGCCTTGAATCAGATATCGGTTCATATCACACATAAGTCCGAATCCGGAGCAGGTGTCCTTGCACCCCCTGGAATCATAGTCCTAAGCGTGATGGGGTGAGTAAGCCCCAAAACACTGTATTTTTAGCGCGATAACTGTACTTAATTCGCCAGGCGATTACAAGTGTACAACTTTAATAAAGTGCTGTTTTGTTAATATCAATTGTCTTCGATACTAACGGTTCAATATATTTACCAACTGTAGAGGACCAAAATGGTCGGCTATTTCACATGTTTGTTTTGCCGTATTTGCTGTCTGAGTCAGCAGTCAGTTATCATCTTTCTTTATGTTACAATTTTCCTTCAGTATGACCATGTTGCATCTTAGCGAAAATGCTTGTTTACCCCACAACTATCGATAACTATTGCGAAAAGATGTATGACATATATGTGTCGTAAGTCCTAAACTACATACATATATAGATTTATATTTATTTAAACACGCACATCAAAGCCGGTGAATTAGTTTTCTTCAGTTCTGTACTACAGCTCATTCAAAAAACATTAAAATAAATTTGAAAAATTCCGTCAGATAAAAAAAGATAAATAAAAGGTAAGTTCCGATAGTCTCAACTGTTCGCGTACGGCGAATTCATCGCGGCGATTTGCAGACGGAGCCGTGTCAGTGTGCATGTATGTACGCGTATTTGGTGGCACTTGCTATTGTGTGCGTGCTCCTAATTTCGCCGGCAAATGCGCATTGTCGTCGGACACGGGCATAGTTCCGCCACTTCAGCGTCAACTTTGGAGGTGCTCGGATCGGCTTGTATTTCGACAACACATTCGCAGACAAGGCCAAATTGATGAGCATCGCACAAGACGCTACTGAGGAGAGTAACCTAACGTAAGTACAGTTGAATATTATTAATCAAGTGGTAGTTGTAAAAACGGGAAGTGTGCAGCAGAGAAAGAAAAAAAAAAAAAAACAAATTGTCGAGGCCAGCAAAAAAATTGTGCTCTTGTGTGCCTTTGTGTTCGTTCGAGTTGGCGTCGAATGTGTGTGAGCTTTTGCGACTGTGTTTGTGTGAGTGTGTCTGCATAAGTTTTCCGCAGAACTTATCGTGTGAAGAATCCTATCGCCTTTTATATAAACATACTTTCATACATCAATTCGATTACGTGCCGTAACGGTTTCGGGCGAGAGCGGGCAGGACTTTTATAATCAATAATGGCAATAATGGTATAAAAAGTTGGTTTAACTTATTGATAAATCGGTTGGATATATCGATAGGTTGTATTCTATAAATCTAGTTTTACCCGTTACTCAAAGAGAAAAAAGGGTTTACTTTCGTTATCTACTATGCATTAGGTGGACGGAAAAGATTCTGACCTAACATAGTATATATTATTTTAACCAGGATCACTAGAGCAGTCGATCTCGGCATGTCCGTTTGTTTGTCCGTATAAACATCGAGATATTGGGAATTATTCTACCTTAAAAGCAAAGATCATGAAAAGAGATTAATAATACCGCCCATGCGACTCTAGTTTCGATACCAAGCGAACTTCAGTGGCTCGTAGCTTATTTCGTGCAGTTGAAAAATTGAGGTTTAGGCCGGTATTGCTGCAAAACTAAAAAATATAACGGGCTTGATTACTTGGCGTAATCACTACATGGGGACAGTTCCAGACGAGCCAGGTCTTCATAATGGCTGCAGAGTGTTTGGGATCGTTGTCTTGGTAAAACCGAAAAAGATCGCGTATGCTTAGTTTTCCGGTGGCTTGCAACAGATTTTCTTTTTAAATTTGGAGGAACGTCGATAAAAACGAGATTGCCAACGCCAGAGGCTGCCATACAGGCCCAAACCACGACGTGAACCCCTCCATGCTTGACCGTTGGTTTTATGTGCTTCTTATCAAGGTGTGCTTTTTGGTCGCCGCCAAACATATTGTCTTCCATCTGTGCCAAAAATGTTTAATTTAGATTCGTCTGCAAAAATATCATCCCAGAACGAATTTGGAAACAATATGTGCTTCTTTGTAAATTTTAGCCGAACATCTATAAACTTATAAAAGGCTTCTTACGTGCTGCTCGACCTTTAAAATTGTGTTCATGAACACTCGGCGCACAGTATCTTCGATTCTGTTTTCCCTGACGAGCCTTTGGATTATGTATTGCACCGTGCTTGGGCTTAGGGACACCATTTCTGCAATATTCCGCAAACTTTTTCCATTTTTAAAATGGTTAAGAACAAGTTCCCGTTGCTCAATGATTGTTCAAGGTGCCATTTAGGTGAATTCCCGGAATCTTGATATTGGAGTGTGACCATGCGCAAAAACTTAGAATATATATATGTGTAGATATTGAAAATATTAAAATTACAAAAAAATATCCACATTTTTGTAGGTCTAAAAGGTTTATATTGAATATAAACGAGCTGCACAAAATAAGCTGCGGCGTAAAAACCTTAATTTTGTGTTCTTTTTAACTTTTTGTTTTCACAAAACCAGAAACAAGCTAAGCTGATAATTCTAACGAACGACCGAAATTTTTAATTCGTATATTGTATATTCGTATTGGTGGAAAAATTCCATCGATACTTGAGTGTTACCGATTTGCTGTTGCCTGAACTAGCCAAAGACTCCACTACTTCCCACTGTTTATTTTGACCCAGTGCTCTACCCACAAAAGGACAAGCCAAAATAAAATTACTGCTTTCGGTTAAATATTTTTTGAGGGTCAAGTATACTGGCTGAAATCAAAACACAAAAGTAAACATGAATATTTCATTACTCCAAAGAATTTAAACTAATGATGCTATTGCTACAGTGATAATTATCAAGGATGAGAATAACACGCTCATCTTAAGATTTGATTTAATGTGGGTTAAGTACTAGACCTTCCCATGCCCCAACAATATCTAAAAAAATCGATCATAGTGCATGCGTTTGCCATATTAAAAGATATATTGATATAGAGTTTTTAGCTACTACACCTTTTTGATTTTAATATCGAGTTTATCGAGTAATAACGAGTTTAAACTAATGATCGCGATTGGCTTATTCATTTCTCTTAAAAGTTTTAACCATTGCTCGAAAAGTCGGTCGAGCTCTTCCGCATAAAGCAAATCCATAAAAAATAAGTATGGTTTCCAATATAGCACTTACAGATAGGGGCTTTGACTGCACAATGCTTCATCTATTTGAAAATAGAGATATCTATTTTCTATATAACTTACTGACTATATACCCACTTGGCACTGACGTCATTGAACATGCCTTGCATGTTAAATAGATTTCATTTAAAGGATATTAAACATCCTCCCTGAGTTATTAAAAAAAATATATAAACAACTTGCTGCAAGTTTAATAGTATTTATTTTTAAAACGTTCTGTCATTATACAACATAATGTGATATAATCACATATATGTAAGATATTACTTATCTTACCCGGAAATATCGTAGTTTGTTGTGTAGTTTACGTATTATCAATTCTGTCATGCAAATAGACAAATTATAGTACGAACAGAAACTTTAGGCTCCTTTATTTTCCTTTTGTTCGCTCATTTGTAAATACTTCTTTGGCCGTCTTCTCATTTTGTGTGTATACCAGTTTCAAAATTCGTGTGTATGTATTTCGTATTCTCCGATCGATGAACCAGACCAGAAGTCTATTTCGTAGTTCTGTGAAGTGAAGCTTGCTAAAAACGTTTTTATACCCGTTACTCGTAGAGTATAAGAGTATACTAAATTCGTTGAAAAGTATGTAACAGGCAGATGAAAACGTTTCCGACCATTTAAGGTATATATATTCTTGATCAGGATCAATAGCCGAGTGAAACTGGGCATGTCCGTATGAACGCCTCGATCTCAGGAACTATAAAAGCTAGAAGGTTGAGATTAAGCATGCAGCACGCAGCGCAAGTTTGTTTCCAAGTGTTGCCACGCCCACAAACCGCCCAAGACTGTCACGCCCACACGTTTGAAAAGAATTGTGATATTTTTTCATTTTTCTAAATCTTCTAAATTTCTATTTCCCCCATTTCTACCGTTATTTCAGAAAATGTTGAAATTTCTCGTTCGCACTTCCACTAGCTAAGTAACAGGTATCTGATAGTCGTGGAACTCGACTATAGCATTCTCTCTCGTTTTTTGTTGGAAAAGTTCAAACTGCAAAGGTGCGTAAGGCAGGAAGCCAATAATAGTGCGTGTTAAGTTGATAAATGACCAACAATAATAGGGCTGGATGTTGAACGAAACCTCTGTTGATCATCTATTCTATCTATGTATGTGTATTCTTGATCAGCGCAAGCTGCCACGTCTATTTAGAATTTTTGACTTCCTTGGACTTTTAGGTTTGCCCAAGGGTCGCAAAATGTTTTAATGTGTGTGTCATTGTTTCGTAGAAAACTAGGTAGACTCATGCCGTTTAGATTTTTTTTTATCGTGCTCCCAGCTTGGTTTAGTAGGTGCGGGATTTGTGAAAGGCAATGTAAGTATATACATATAAGTATATATAATACATAAGTGCGTATATCTCATGTTGCTGTCTTATGTACATTGTCGATCGCCACGCCGTGGGATTGTTTCCTCGGCAAAAACAATGACGGCAAAAAAAAATCGACCGTCTAACTCACTAATACACTGACGTGCTTGGGCGCTGCCAAACGCACACAACTGCTACTTGCGGCGAATTCACTTCGACTGAGTGCGTGGTCGAATAGTGATGACACTATAGCAGTATCAATCGATAAACATGAAGGAATTTAGTTGCGGTAGATGACTTGATAACGGGTCGCAATTGCATTGCAACGTACTACGATACGAATACAATGACAACGATATTTTATTTTCCCCGAACGTTATCGATTGTTATTCAATCCACCCGGCTCGGTTTAAGCGCCACAGATGTTGTCATTGCTTTGGCGACGCCGTTGTGTGCTGCCTCCTTCAGAAACGTTAATTAGGTTTGAAGAATGAAAGCAAACCGCTCTGTTTATACATTGTATATATAAGATATATATAATTTGCAGTTTTGAGATATATTATTAATGGCACATTAGTAGTGTTTATTCGGTGAGAGTGAGTGAGTAATGTGAGCTGAAGTGTCGCAACTACAGAGATAGAAACCATGCCGTTTAGTTAACCGTGTAATAAATAGCCCCAAACACCCGCAGAGGAGTCGGATCCGGATCGAGCGAACAGTGCCTGCTGCAGAATGGATGAGAGCGAGGACGACGTGGTGGAGGTGGGCTACGATAACACGATGGAGAAGAAGGTTAGGGCCAAGCTGCTGGAGATCCGTAAGTTTGTGCCCTTTATTCAGCGTGTGCGAATGGAGTTCCAGAAGACTTTGTCCAAAGTTCAGAGCCAGCGTCTGTACGCACTGATTGGTCTGCTGGAGCGCGAGTAAGTCATGGAAAAAGGAACGACTACCATACTCAGTTATCCATCAAATGCATTACTTCGTTTCAGAAATGTATCGATGAACTCTCTTAACAAGATCGAGGGGATCATCGAAAAGCTAAAGACGCGATTTAAACCGGTAAGTCGAGTGTGGGTCACAGGTATGGCCACATCTTCATCTTCATGTTCTAATTCTTGATTTTCGTTCTGCAGAGCATCGAACTGGACACAGGCGAGATCATTGATATCACTGACAACACTGAGTATGATTCCAGCGCGTCGACTTCATCCGGGTCAATTACACAGCCACCAGCCCAAGGAGCGAAGTCCTTAGATAAGGGCGGCCTCTTGAACGGCTCACCTCGTCCCTCAGCGGCTTTCACAAAGCTAAAGGACTTGCAACCGGCTAGGAGCTTAAATGGCTCACCTAACCCCGCATCTGCTGCTGCCAAGGCCAAGCCAGCGATACCAAAGCAACAGGAACTGGATCGCGGGACAAAAGCATCTTGCTCCATATACACAATAGAGACTTCTCCCATGTCTGCCACTTCAAAGGCTTCCTGGTCTTTGAACACTCCAAAGACTCTCAACGCCAAGCCATCAGACACGGTGCAGCGTACCTCCCTTCAAGCTGTAGTTCCGGATACCAAGGCAATATCCATTCCAGAACCAACATCATCCGCGGCGTTTAAGAAACTTCAACAGCATTCCTCCCCTCCTGGCAGTCGCGGGGTTCTGGCTGCCATGCAGAAGGCTTTGATGGAAGAGAAGAAGCAGCGGGCTAGCGCGCAAAAAGCTGTCAATGATGCTAACGCTGCAACACAGCCAGAGGTGAACTTCTCGCGGCGATCTTATACAACATCGCCACAGTTCACCCGCCGATCCCCAGCAAAGCCGGCGAAAGCGGATAGCCCGGATTGTGGGCGCCGGAGCACATCGCTTGTGCACCCTGCTCCTCTGCGGGAGGTCCCCCCAATTCAATCCAAAGAAGACGTACCCACATCGTTGTCGGTACAGGATTTACGAGTTTCGGCCAGTGCCAGCACACCAAGATCCGCAAATATGCTCGAGGAAGCCCGCAAGAAGCTAGCAGCCTTGGGAGATGGATTAGGAACCGGCCTAAGTATGCCTCCACTGGCCTCTAACATAAACGATCCACGCGGCAGAAAAGCCGCAAACCTGCCCAAAACGAACATCAATAATGACAGCGACATAAGCTTCGCAGTGCTGGCCCCACCGCCTATGCGGACACCCTCGCCTGTTCCGCCGCCACCGAGCATGAAGTCCAGTACGTGGGCACCATATTCAAATGCTCCTCTGGAGAACGGCTTTATAGTCCAGCGTGCTTCGCAGCGCAACTCAGAATCTCCGGGAGATTCTCGAGCCTTTTTGGATGCTTTGGCGCAGGACCCTGGCCTTGAACACAGGTCATTCTATGGCATTGATTCCCGCGAACCACGTGACCCTCGCATCTGGAATCGCAATCCCTCCCAGCAGCAACAGCAACTGACGCCGCCGACACATGTTCCGTCTTATTCCAGTGACCCACGTCGTGCTACAAGCATCTACAGCGGTTACGAAGAGTCAGCCAATAGAGGACAATCTAATAGCAATAATAATAGTAATCTGAATGTTAACGCCAATGGAAATTCAGGCAAGTCCAACTGGAGTGGCAATCAAAATGGAAACGGTCCAAACCCGAGGCCCTTTCCAAACAATCAAAATGGGAATGAATATGCTGGTGGGTTTAATGGGTCGCACAGTTTCAGAGGCAGATACCGTGGAGGTCACAACAACCGGGGCTTTGGCAACCCGGGTTCCCGCTTTGAGCGACCCAAAGAAGTGGCTCGTACATATGGGGAGCACCGCAAAGCTAAGGCCCGCGCTGAGGCGGAGGCCAAGGCTAAGGCTGCGACGGAGCTACGTCAATTGGAAGCAGAAGTTATGCGGCAAATGGAAGCCGAAGGAAAACGAAGACAGCTTGCCGCCGAAAAGAAGCAGAAGCCGGACGAGACCGAGGCGGAGAAGTCGACGACGCCGGTGACGAATTTACCGGAATTGGACACCTCCTACCGCAACGTTACTCTCGGTCCGTTAAGCAAGAAGCTAGACTTTCGAATACCGAAGAAAACCCTCCCAGCGGCAGCGACAATAACCTCAACAAGCCCAGTCAATGGAAGTGGGGACAATCTCGGTTGCTCCTCAAATTCCCCCGCAAGCAAAAGCTGTGATGCCAAACAGGACAAAGATACTAATAAGAATAAGGCTAAGCATTTAGATAAGAAGGATAAGGATAAAGAAAAGGTAGATAAGGGCAAAGAAAAGTCAGAGAACACTCTGGATAAGTCTGAGAAGCATCACAAATCGCAGGATAAGAAGGCCAACAACAAGGAGCAGAACAAGTCCGACAAAAAGGAGAAGAAGAGACTGAATAGGGAGCATGAAAAGAAAACGATGGTTGAGAAACCCCGCGAGTTTGTGGAATCGAATAGCGTGGACAGTGAGGAAAGCTCGGAAAATACAGACAATGTGGAAAATGAACCGCCCCTTAGCGAGACTAACTCGTCTCCAGATCCAGAGCTAGCTCCAAGCACTCCGGACAGCCAACAGGCTCAGGAGGAGTTGGACATCCTTGCCAAGATTCGTAAAGCGTCTGGAACTGGAACAAAGACTTCCATTTCGCCTTCTGCCAAAGCTGCTCCAAAGCGATGGTTAGATGATGAGGAAGAGGACACGTTGCGAAACCCGACTAAAAAGCACTGCGAAACGTGGGAGGCAAAGCCTGCCAATGGGAAATCGGAAGATGATATCGAAAAAAGGAAAGCCACCAAGAAAGTAACTAAAGAGGGCGACGTGAAGAAACAGGGTACTGAGGAGTATGAGGGTACTGAGGAGCCTCCAAAGATCTCCAAGATAAAAATTGTCCTTGGTCCCAATGCCCATACACTGGTGGTGCATCCTGATGATGGCATAAAGAAAAGAAAACTAGAGATCTTCGACAACAAGACATTTGATGATGACCACGATGATGAGGAAGTTCCCGGGCTCCCACCTCAATTCCTGCAACGTATTATGCTGCGGCGCAACTCCTTGGCTCCTACATATAGTAAGCCGCTGGTGGACAAGGATAAGATTTCCTCCAGTTTTACGTACGAGGACTTACCGGACCAGAAACGCGGCTCTCAGAGCTCCCGAAACCTGGCCAATATGTTTGAGAAAACTAGTGACAACTGCAGCGTATCCACGCATAATATTATTACCGGCAAACGTCGCACTCGTGGATGTGAGGCCTCCTTTAACGAGACCCAATTGAGTCGAAGCATCTTTGGCTTGGGCCAGATAAACAGGTCGCGGGCAAAAGCCAGCGGGGGCAAAGCTACCAGGGCAAAAACTCCTGCCCCTGCAAAAGATTCTATGCGTGCTAACGTCAATTCCGTAGCTCCTATTCCTCCTCCTAATCGCAAGCGGAAAAGGCAAGCCATTCACAAGGAATCACCGGATGCGCAGGTGGAGCCTAAAAAGGCTCGCTTGGAGGCCGAGGAGATAAAGAAGGTCAGTGACACACCTGATGAGCGGCCGGCAGAGAACAACGTGGAAGTCACCCAAATGAAAGAGGATGAAAAGCCCTCAGAGCCACTGGCCGTTTCCGAAACTGTACCGACACCTAAGCCTCTCACGAAGCCGCGAAAGAAGCGCAACGAGCTGGACAAGCTTAACGATGACATTGCGCAGATGTACTACGGGGAGGAAGTGCTAAGGGCCACCGGACGCAGGGCTTGTACCCGGCGTTCGCGCACTCCCTCGCAGGTACGATCCAGCAGCCAGCATTCCCGGACATCATCTGTATCGCGAGCCGATAGCATCTCCACCGTATCGGATGTCAGTTCCGTATTCATCAGAAACACGGCGCGAAGGGGCAAATCCTTCAGATCATCCGAAAGCGGCATCAATCGTGCCACGTTTAAGGCAACCATCGATGCAAAAAAAACAAAGTTATGCCGTGTGAGGATCCAGCGATGTGCTGCATTGATGGAGATGCTTAGGAACCAGGAAATGGAGGAGCAGAAGAGGAAGAAGGAAGAGCGGGAGCAAGCAAAGAAGTTAGGCAAAAAAGCGAAAAGTAAGAAAAGTAAGAAAAGTGATATTCCCAACATAAATCCCGAATGGCACTCCGATTCGATGGCGACCATCAAGTGTGTCGTCTGCTCGAAGTGGGTTCGCAGGAGCCCCCACTGTCATTACATGATGTGCCATAAGGAGCACTATGCCGCCCGATTGCCACCCGATGTGCTCGAAGACCTGCGGGCTGGTCGCGGAAATCGGCCGGACTACTGGATTTCACAACGCGGCGTCTACACATTGCACTTCACTTGCCCGTTCTGCCAGAAGCCACTGCTCCTCTGCCATAAAGGCCTGGTCGATCACTTGTCCGCCCACATGGGCGAGTCGCGTCACCACTGCTCCAAGTGCAATATGCCACAGAACCGCCTCAGTAGGCTGCTGACCCACACCGCGTCCTGTGGGCCGGGTGCGAAGCCTCTGCATAGGAACAACGGCTGCCTGCCGATGAGTGTTCACGTATGCCACATTTGCCAGTTTTTGCAGTACAACAAGGAAAATATGGACCGGCACCTTATGGTTCAGCATGGTCTAACGGAGGAGGAACTGCAGAGTATCGAGCGTGAGAAGTTGGTGCTCTGCAACACAACGGACGTCCCATCTGCGGAATCGAAAATGGGCGGCAGCGCCTCTGTGCAAGGAATTCAGGACAACAGAGTGGAGCCATGCGCAAGTGCAGCACCTTCGAGAGCCCAACGCGCATCCAAGCCAATTAAAAAGAGCAAACAGAAAAAGAAGGTCAACATGCGCTTCAAAAAAATGGTCAAAAAGTCCGTACGTCTTGTGAAGCGCGAAAGAGAAGAGCAGGATGAACAGGAAGCAGAAGTGCCAGTGCAGGAGGACGAAGGGTCGGTGATCAAAATGGAGGATGATGTGAGAGTGCCAGCTCTACCGCCACCTCCGCCAGAAAGGGAACCTGTGTTGGTGGTCAATGAGTGCCTAATGAACTCTGAAATGGACCCGAACTCGGAAGAAGTCTTGGAACAGTCCGTTCAAAATAGGAGCATAATGGTGGACGAAAAGCCAGTGGGGCTGCTCACTGGGTGCACAGAACTGGCGGAGCCTACTGTATCAGATCCCGAGCCTGCCGTTCCGTCTGCACAAGAAGAAGATGGCGATGTTGATGTGGAGACAGTTGAGGCTTCTACTCAGCCGCACACTGCGCAGACGACGATTTCTGTGGTTGAGGAAGTCAGTCTAGCCGAGTTGGATGGGGATATCCTTGATGGGATTGGCAGTGACGGATCCGACGATGAGGTGGAGGATGATTTAGAGCAAGAGGATACAAATAACGAAAACATCGACGGGGCTAGTAATGACACTTATGCGGAAGATGATGCGCTTACCGACGAGTGGGTGGATCTAGAAACGGCCAAACGCAATTCCAAGGCCACCAAGAGCATTTTCCGCGTATTCAATCGCTTCCGCTTGCGCCTTAACAAAGGACCCAAATCCAGCAAAGCTGTGCCCTCGAATGCGAGTCAATGCAGCGATGGCAGCGACGACGACGTCCCTGATCCCAGCGAGCTTATGCCAACAATGCAACCATTGGAGCCGGAACCGGGGGATTCTGCATCTACGACATCTACAGGTGCTAAGTCGTTATCCAAACGGGTGGAGAATGTGGCCTTTCGAAAGTCCTCTTCAGATGAGGATAAAAATCGACAGGCATCCTATTACTGCGTGCAGCCGGGCTGCACTTTCCTCTTTTCAGATGAGCTGGAAGGCCTCGAGAATCATTTTGCCTTAGAGCACCCTCTTGTTCGATGGAGCGGCAAATGTAGCATCTGCCATCAGACACTCACGGCAACGGGAACGAATCTCAAAATCTCCGAAGAGTTGCGTCACATGAGGGACGTGCACATGAGGGACACACCGCCTCCTCAGCCATCTGCGGCGGAAGTGCCAGCAGTTATTGATATACAGTCTGAATCTCAACCAGAATCAGAACCTGATCCCGTCCCTGTGCTTCCCAAGCTGCGCGTTCGACGCTTCACTGGCGACCGCCTTGTTGTGGATCCACAAGCGGAGAAGAGTCAAACGGCAGAAATGGTGTCAGTGGATGATGATAATCAGCGAAATGGAATGCTGAGGGACTTGCTGGCGGCGGACCCACGGCCACCCAATCAACAGTTGGACTTCAACGCGGCCGGATTGGGCGAGTTCCTTTGCGCCAAGCCCGATACACCGTCAACGGAAACGGCCGAGCAGCAGCCCATAATAGTTGGCTATCCAAGTGGCTTGGGCTTGAAAATCAGCCAGGTTTTCAGCAGAACTCAGATTTCGGCGGACGCTGTACTATCACCAGTTGTCAACGATCCTCTGCCTGAGGAGTCGTCTGCTCCTGCCGCAGTTGAAGATAATCGTAACCGATTTAGGTGCATGGCCAACAACTGCAACTTCACCGCTCACAAGGTCATGTTCGTGCGGGAGCACATGAAGTTTCACAGCTTCAGTTTCAGCAGCACCGGTCACCTCAGCTGCGCGTACTGCTCCCATGTGGCAGTCGATGTGGAAGATTACTTGCGCCACGGAGTGATAATTCACGACCTAGCACCGCGCTCCGATCTGGAGAGTTCCACTGGACCACCATCTGTTAGCCAGAAAATCCGGGATATGCTCAACCGGCGAGATAGTGCGTCCAGCGGACGTGTTTCAAGTACCAGCACTGCCACCACCAGCACTGCCCAATTGGCCGTAAACAGCAATGGGTCAGCGGCGGGGACCACTACTCCTGCCTCCTTGTCTGATGTGATTTTGGGTCTGTTCAAGCCCACAGGATATACTGGTGAGTCAACTGGACTATTGCCAGTGTGTTTCAAATTTTCTAACCTGCATCTGTATTCCTTGTCTCCCTCCACCAGATGATAAACTGTACGCCTGTCCCCAAAGAGGCTGCATCGTGAGGCTGACAGATCAACAGTTTGTGAACCATCTGCGCTACCACATCCGCAGCACCCATCAGGGAAGCGAGCTGGTGAGATGCAAGTTCTGCCCACAGACGATGCATCCGCCGGCACTCCGTACGCATCTGCAAGAGTACCACGCCCGGCACAGCATCTTCTGCGGCATTTGTTTGGCTACGTCGGTCAACAAGCGCATAATGGTGTATCACATGCGCACGGTGCACCACAAGGCCTACGGCCGGGCTAACCGGCTGTTGCATTTCGTCCCGCTACCCGTGAAGCCCGACGCTGGCGAGTGCTTCGTGGCCGTCGTAGAACAGCCCTTTGGCAAACTCCAGATGCAGAATTTCCAGCGCAAGCTGTTCGAGGAAATGGACCGCCGTTGTTCGGGCACCAAGACGGACTTCCGCAGCACCGAGGTGCATCTCCTGCCACCACAGTCAATATACCAGCAACCAATGCGCTGTGCGGAGTGCCCCTTCTCCAGCACGTTTAGGACTAACATGCAGGTGCACCTCCACGAGCACAAGGAGAAAACCATGCTGGAGGCCTATAAAACGGAGAACTTGATAGCAGCTCCAGGAACACCCACCTCGGTACTAATTGCTCCGGCAGAAGCAGTGGTGGCAACACAGAGGCCAGTCATAGATTTTGATGAACCATCTGAAACAGCGCCGCCTCAACCAGAACCAGTAGTTCCTGGGATCCACAAGCATGTCAAGCCGCCGTTAAGCTATGTGCCCTCAGATGTACGCTACCGCTGTGGTTTCCTCCGATGTGGTCTGCTGTGTTCCTCGGAATCGACGATGCGCCAACACATGATGGCTAACCACAAATACTCGCAGGTGGTAAGCTGTCCGCACTGCAAGAACTCCCAGGGTCAGGTTAACGTAGATAAGTACGTGGACCATCTTTCAATGCATAAGCGGTACATCTTTCAATGCGGGACTTGCTCACGTCATAATAGCAGGCGTGTCATCGAGCGGCACATCCAGGAACGCCACAGTAACAAAAATGTGGACTTGGTCGTTCACCGCCACAGTGACACCAACAAGACGACCGACGCCCGCTGGCTGAAGGCGCGTAAGTGTAGAATTTCAACAACCATCATCCGAATAGCCTTCTCACGTGTTTGTGCCCCCACTCTTTAGCTAAACTGGCGCGCCAAGCGTTAATGGAGTACACGTGTAACCTGTGCCTCCAGTACTTTCCTACGACCGTGCAGATCATGGCTCATGCCGCGTCCGTTCACGAACGGAACTACCAGTACCACTGCCCGTACTGTGCCTTTGGTGGAAACTGCGCCACCGTGCTCATTGAACACATTCTTCGTGAGCATCCGGAAAGGGACGTGCAGCCTGTGCAAATCTATCAGCGCATCGTGTGTAAGAATAAGCAGACATTGGGCTTCTACTGCACCATATGTCACGAGACGGCCAGCAGCTACCAGAAGATCGCTGCACACTGCGATGAGAAGCACAAGTCGCGCAACCAGGTGCAATGCCCCCACTGCGACTTCGGACATACGTTGGAGCGCCAGGTGGCCTTACACATACATGAGAAGCATCCTGATAAAATCGGACTGGCATTTGTCCAGTTCAAACGCGTTCTTAACGAAATCCCGGACAACATCAGTTGGGAGATGGGTCGCCCCATCGAAATTGAGCCTGAGAAGGAGAAGGAGCAGAACAATGAGCAGAGACGGGATTCGGGAGGAAGGCAATTGCAGGAGCCACTGGTTGTAACGGAAGTGGTGGACCTGCTGGATTCAGACGACGAGACGGACGAGCCCGGCGAAAATGAAGAACCGGTAAGTGGTTAGTGCAGGGCCAAATTTATGAGTCCTTTTCCAATTATGTACTTTATTATTATTCCGCAACAGAAAATCATGGAGTTCGCCTGCACGCACTGCGGCGAGACAAACACCAATTTGCCGGAGCTACGCACCCAGCACTGGACCCGCCATCATCCGGACCAGCCCTTCTATTTCCGCGTGCAGCCACTGCTCCTCTGCTGCGAGTGCAAGAGCTTTAAAGGTAACGCAAAGGCACTGCGCGAGCATCTACTTAGGGGGCATTCCATCCGGAACATAGTGGCTGCGGACATTCGGCGACCGTCGGAGTGCGCTTACTGTGACTACTGCTACACCAACTGGCAGGACCTTGCGCAGCACATCAGCCAAAAGGGTCACCTGCCCAATGACCTGAAGCACGTAACAAATGCTGAAATAAATGCCCTGATGCTGCTCAGTGCCAGTGGAGTCGTAAACGAATACTACCAGTGCGGATTGTGCAGTGTTGTGATGCCCACGAAGGCGACTATTGGACAGCATGGTCAAGTAGAGCACAACAAGCCCGGCGAGCGTTTCTGCTTCCGGCAGCTATTGTCGCCAGTGATCTACCACTGTTCCTACTGCATGTTCACCTCGACCGATGAGCTGACCACGCTGCGCCATATGGTGGACCACTACAGCCGCTTTCTGGTTTGCCATTTCTGCACACGCTCCCAGCCAGGTGGCTTTGATGAGTACATCCAGCACTGCTATACTTACCACCGGGACGATGTGAAATGCTTCCGGGAAGTGCACACGTTTGACGACCTCAAGAAGTTCCTTATGCAGGTGCATTATCAATTCCAAAACGGGTTGATTATCACAAAAAGCAGCCTCCGCTATACACGTTACAATACCGACAACATGATGCGTAAGCTGGACGATGAGCTAATGGCCAAGGCCCAGCGGCCACCAATTCCCCGTCTGCATATCAGACTGAAGTCGACTGGCGTCCAGATGCAGAGCCATCCGGAGGCTCGAGTGCAGGAACCTATGTTGGTGCGGATCGCAACGCGACGGAAAACGCTTAATCCTGGCGAACTTCTTCGCCTATCCCGTCAGGATAATGATGTGCAGCCCCAGTCGTTGGCCACAGTGGTCAAAAATGACGCGCCCTCCACTTCGTCCGTGACGGCTAGTTTTGCTACGGCAGGGACTCTGATCAGCCTGCTGAAGCGCCGCAACAGTCTCGTTGTCCGGCCGGCAACCAGCAACTTGGATCAACACTAACACCACACCATTATTATTATTTTTATTATTCCTATTATGTCATCTATTGATCCCCATCATGCATATTTCGTACTAGTTTCAAACTAAGCATTGGAAACATTTTTTTTACACTTAATTAAGAGATGATGTTTACTACATTTGTAAGAGGATACAAATAAGGTCATTTGAGACTAACTGATATTGGCTTCAATTAGTGAAACTATTGTGTTAATTGAACAAACCCTCAATTCAACTGGGGTCCCCTTCAATAAGTCGTATAACGTAGCAGGGAGTAAATACGGACATTGAATAAATCTGATGCCAACGCCTTCTCAAAGTAAACAGAGATTGTAATTGTAGCGGTCGGTTTATTTAATATGATATGTAGAAAAGAAAGCTCTGCAAATTCTATATGAAATCCGAGATATTGTTAACGACCGATAAGCATGCGGGTGGTATCTATATCTCGTCCATGTAGCCATGCTCGTATGCATGACGGACAGTCTTGAAGATCTCCTCGTTGGCCACGTCGCCGCCAATGTCCAGCGACAGCTGATAGCATGCCTGGCCGTGCATATCCGTTTCAAGGAGACGCGACAGTTCAGCGCAGTCCGGTTCGCTGCCCAGCAGCCTGGGCATAAAGTGCATGCAGACCATCACACCGTAGAAGGCATATCGCTTGAAATGGGCCTCAAAGCGTTCGTAACTGTGGATAGCATGGACATGAGAATCATGGAAGTTCAAGGAAATTATGTCACCCACCTGTAATCAGCTAGGAGCTCTTCAGCACGTTCGTCACTCAACTCATCCCGGTTGCGATGCAGCACTAGTTCCAGCATTTCGCTCATGTACTTGTGATATTTCTTTAGGAGATCCGCGAAGAACTCCGCCCTGCCCTCTGATGGCGTGTTCATGTACATAAAGAAGCTCAGGTCAATGGCCGTGGTGCTGAAGCGCAGCTTTTGGAAATCAATAGTCTTAATGGAATCCACTTGGCCATCGTCGCCATAGTGGAACAACACATTGCTACGATTGTAGTCTCCATGCAGGAATGTGGCAAAGTGACTATCCGGCTGATCGTCCGCATAGGACGCGGTGCGAATCCTCTCCAGCAGATGCGTGGGATTTGTAAAATACTTCTTGCGCAGACGCTCGATGGCGGCGGCCAAGCCAGCATCTGAGTCCTTTATAAGCTGCTCCCTCTGCCGATCGTAAAATTCGTAGAACCGATCGAAGGCCACACGATAGACCACATCGAAGCCGGATTTTCCTGTGCTGGACACAAAGGGCATGGCCACCACGCCTGAACGCAGGCGGGCATAAACCTGCGGCTGCAGTAATCGTATGGCATATCCTAGGGCATGAAAGGGCCCAATCAGTCCGACCATTGCCTCCAGTTGATCTCGGCGGAGAGTCAAACGCGGGCTACGGCCCAGCTCGTAGCCTTCGCTCTTGAGATGCTTCACAGCCAGAACGGATTCGCGACCAGTCCCAAGGCCTGAAATATAGTCAAAGATAAGCAGGGCGTGAGGTATGTTTCAGATCTACACACTATTGACCCTTCCGAACTTGGCAAAGTAGCAGCGCGGCACCCAATTGGACACCATCTCGTTGGACAGATGACTCGTCCGCAGCAGGTGCTCATAGGCAGGAAGAATTTCGGCGTAGGCGAACACCTCGTTGGCGAACTGGATGTACGAATTGCTCTGCTCGCGGAATTCCTCCGAGCCCTTCATAAACTTGACCACAACGACCTCAGTCCGCTTCCGTTCGGAGGCCACGAGATCCAACTGCACCGTGTACAGGGCGGACATGAATCCGTCCAGCCCGGTGGAGCACTCAATTCTGTGGCCCTCCAGCGTCACCCCGGATCCGAAATACTTAAAGATTTCGTACACCAGGCTGCGCTCGATGTAGTCCAACTGCTGCTGCTGCGTCGACATTGTGCCCTGCCAAATGGAGAGTTGCAATTGCAGTTGATTGTCGCTTTCACGGCAGTGCGTTGGCCTGCCCCCAATTCCCGATATACATATGCCTGTATGTATGTACGTACAGGCTTCCTGTTCACCAACCAGTTACTGCGATAACTGCGATCTCTGCGAGACTGTTTGGTGGACACTTGTGGAGCGAGTCTTATATAGTGGCGCTACCAGTGACGAGTCTCGCACTTGAATCCACCCCGCCCCAATCTCCTAGCGGGGAGGAAATCCGGAGGATCGTGGTGAAGTTCATCGAGATATGTATATATACATTGAATACGCATTAAAGGCTTTAGGTTGCATCTCAGATCAGATCACATATGTATGTTTGTATGTAGCATTGTTTGTGAGTTGCGGCACAGCTGATTGCGTGACTATCGGCTAACGTCGGCTGACCGGCCAGGGCTGCAAAGGCAAACGGAATGTGTAAGTAACATCGTACAGTGGTATTTATTTAATCGAAACGCCTAAATAGGAAACGCTGTATAATTAAAATAAAATACCGAAATTAACGAGTTACAAATAAGTAACTGGCAAAGCGCCAGCTTGAGTCAATGGTCGATGGCGCAACTCACGACCTTGTTGCGATACCGGCGGCAGGCACGTGGGGATTGCCCATCCCTGGATTGGATTGCGCAAAAAAAAATAAACAGAACGCAATTTGTTTTTGTGCTCGGCGAATTGATTGCAGTTTACTTAATTATTTATTTATTAAATATAATACACCCAGTGAAGGAAAGCTGCAAATTACCGATGAGTAAGTACACTGGACTTGGTGGCTCGCAACTGACCTTCAAAATCTTGGCTAGATCACGACCCATCAACTCTTCGATTTTGGTTTTATTTAAAAATGTTATGTTAAATTACAAAAAAAATGTATCACAATTAGAATTATTTTCGTTTCTTTCTTTTGCTTTTGTCGCTGTTGTTCTTGTCGTGCTTTTTTTTTTTTAGTAGAAAAGTGAAAAGTTGAATGGATATGACATTGGATCGTGTGCGCCGAAAGCCCTAGAACTTGGAGTCATTGTTTCGGTGGATATGTCGCTTGCCTGAAAACGATCCGATTAGCGAATTTACATATACATTCCCAGGATCAACGTTGCACTTACGACCGTTGCAGTGGCGCCCATAGAATCCCGGATGGCACTTGCAGTGCTTGTGGGAGACGCAGGTGCCGTTGCGACACTTGCAGATGGAGCGCTGCTTGCGCCCGATCTCGCAGTGATCGCCTCGTAGTCCGTTGGGACAGCGGCACAGGTTGTTCCCGATGCACCGGCCGTCGTTCTTGCAGGGGATCACGCACTTGGCTGTGAAGAAAATGGGCGAAAACGTTCAGAGGATCGCCTCGACGAGAGCAGGACCTTTGCTACTCACAGTACTCGCAATGTAGGCCGTAGTAACCCTTGGAGCACTGGCACTTGTCCTTCTGTATGCACTTGCCGCCATTCAAGCACTTGTCTTTGCAAATACCTGTTGATAGCAGTGGGATTCCATTAGTTGCGCTCCAAGCACATTCAATTCTTATATAATGCCTAGTTATCTTGCCCTGAGTTTGATTAAGCAATCAACGCTTATCGTACCACCCTCCTCTCCTTCGCAGATGGAATGCTGAGAAGAGTCCTTAGCCGGCCCGAGCCACGCCTGCTCTCCATGCGCTGCCTTAGCTCAGGAGCTGGCGAAGGATCAGCGGAAGACACCACCAAAGGAGGCAGCCCAGAAGCCACCCCGCTGCGTTCACGACCAAATGCGCTCACAGATGAGATTATACGCGTTGATCATGCCGGCGAATTGGGAGCAGATCGCATATACGCCGGGCAAATGGCCATTCTAGGCAACGGGCCGCTGGGCAAGACGATCGGACACATGTGGGAGCAGGAGAAGGAGCATCGTAGACAGTTCGAGCAGCTCATCCAGCAGCACCGCGTGCGTCCAACGATCATGACGCCGATTTGGAACGTGGCCGGATTTGTGCTGGGCGCCGGAACCGCCCTCATGGGTGAAAAGGCAGCCATGGCCTGCACGGTGGCAGTGGAGACGGTGATCGTAGAGCACTACAACGACCAGCTGCGGCAGATAATGGAGGCACCGAACCCGGATAAGGTAAGTACTCTTTGAGACCTCCAAAGAACGGACTAACTAACAATGTTTTATGATTTCGCAGGAGCTGTTGGCCACCATCACCAAGTTCCGCGACGAGGAGCAGGAGCACCACGACACGGGCATTGATCACGGGGCCGAGCAAGCGCCCTTTTACCAGGCCATGACCGAGGTAATCAAGTTTGGCTGCAAGACGGCTATTGCCATCTCGAAGAAGATCTAGGCTGGAACAGTTGGGCCCCCTGTACATACGAAAACCAAATTATCTGTTTCGCTACCGTGTTAAGCATTAAAGATAGAGCTAAATGTCCAGAACAGAAGCGTCTACTTACCACCCTCGCACTGCGTGCCTTGGTAGCCCTCCGGACAGGTGCAGACGGACGGAGCAGTGCAGTTACCGCCGTTGAGGCACTGCGGAAAACAGAAGGCCGTCTCGCAGTATTGGCCCGTGTAGCCCACGTTGCACTTGCAGATGTGGTGATCGTTGCAGTAGCCGTTCTTGCCGCACTTCAAGCTGCATTCTGGATCGGGAGCTTAAGTTTTTTTAGTTTAGTTCAATCGTTCGCAGGACACGAGGCATTAACACTCATTTAACACTCAGTCACATTTGACTCACACTAAACGGAGCACATCGGAAGCACAAAGAGGGGCAGGTTGGAGTGGACAGTGGATACATAGATCGACAGATAGATACACAAGCGGTTGGCGTGGGAGGAGAGGGAAGATCGAATCGAATTTTTTGGGGCTATCAATCAGTAATTTACTGTCAAGAACAAATTTGAAGAATTTTCGAACTCAAGATCCGATCCATTTAATTATTATTGAATATATCATATCATATAAAGCAAATAATATGTGACTATAGTTTTAGATAGTGTCATTAGGAAGTGTCTTTTGCCAGGTGCTCTTTGATAGCCCGAGTAATTTTGTGCTGTGGAAAAATTGAAGAGCTGGGTGCGAGGGAATCGTGAAAAGCGACTACATGGGCGCAATGGAATGGAATCGGGTGGGCGGGGATGGCATGCTGGGATGGCACATGGATGGCTGATGGATGGCTGATGGGAGGAGTGTGCACAACATGTATATGCTAAATTACAATTACTATTGACTAGATAAAAGCATTGCTTGATATTTCATATACACTACCTTGCAAAGTTGTTAGTGAAGTAGGGTTGGAAGCGTCTATATCATACACACCTCTGTGGGCGCATTCCTTTTTGAAGTTGAGGCGAATGGGTGTGCCCGAGAGCGGCTTGTTGTTGCGCGTCTGGATCTTGAGGCCGACGTTGAAGGACGCGGTGCCGGAGCTGTTGCCGGTGCAGGGCAGGAATATGCTAAAATCTGGCTTGGGATGAGGCTAGTTGCCGGACTCTGATTATCTCCGCTGGTGCCGGTGCCGCTGCCGCAGCAGCCAGCTATACTTACTCTTCTGCTCCTGCGGAATGCGTCCGCTCTTGCGAATGGACAGCGTCGGTGCCTTTAGAATGCTTTCGTCCATGGTCTGCAGGCGATCAAAGTCATAGAAGTACTTGCGGCGCCCCGACTTCCATGTGAAGTTAACGTAGTTCACCTCCGAGGGGATTACCAGGAAGTTGTACAGCGTGGTGTCCCTCAGGTCGTTGGTCACCCGGCTATTGTGAATAGCGTACAGGCGTTCCGAGTAGCCCTGTGGGAAGTAGAGCGCTGTGGAGGTGGAGGAATGGATCAATGACCAGGTACGTCTACAATCCACTGACTTCATTTAAGGAGATTTGGATGGTTTCTCAAGGATCACCAACCTGTAAGCATTTTGAGCTGCTGCTCATTGATCCACAACGAGATGCCGCTCTCCTCGTTGCGATTGTGCCGGCTGCCACCGCCTCCTCCTTTCTTTCGTTGGCCCCGACGTGGCTGGTGGCCATGGCTAACGAAGCTGGCGTCCTGGTCCGCAAAGTTGTCCAGGAGATCGCTGGAGTTGACGTGGCCTTCCTCTGAGCTGGACGAGTCCGCTCTTTTGTTATTGTTATTGTTATTCCGATTCTGGTTCTGGCGACACTCGATCTGGCCGAGGCAGAGGAGCGTGTGCACGATCAGCACCAGATATAACCACTTGACCAGGCAGCCGGTGCCCTGATGTGTCATAGTTTCCCCAGCTGCCAAAGCAAACCGAAACAGAGATTGAAATTAAAAATAAACGTTGCTTGTGCATTATGGCCTGGCCTGACCACCCCCACCCTCACCCCCACTCACACCCAATCCCCTCCAGATATCGGATATCTGATTGCTTATTGCCGATCACTGATTGCCAGTCGCACACCCATGCAGTTTGTTTATCTTTTGCCATATTTGCAGACCGGCGATCTATTTGCGAATCGGTTACGCTGCTCTAGTCGCTGGAGGGGATTGGGGATAGCCTGTGTGCTGACACTTTAGATTTCCAGGAAAAGTTCTAATACATATGTGTGTATATGTGCGAGTATGTCATTAAATCAAATCAAAAACAAAAATCAAACTTTTCAGTCAGAGATCAATCAAACATAACCGAGGAGCGAAGTTGCCAACCAGAAATGGAAGTGTCCCCAATCCGGTGCATCCCCTGCCCTCGGCAAAAACGAACTCCCCAGCTCCTTCAGCTTGGCCAGATTGAAGCGCTAAAGAGCAGCCTCTCGTCTCGAAGCGATGCAGAAGTGGAGGAAGAGCAGGTACAAAGTCGTTAGCACTTGGCCCGGTGTGAAGTTACCCGAGTCAACGAGGGCCATCTCCAGCTCCAGACAGCCAGCCAGCCTTGTTACACGGCAGACCGGACAGCCAGAAGCCAGACGTTGAACACGGCCAACAAGTGAACGGACAAAAGTGATGCAGTGATGCCTCTTTGGCCCTTTTTTTGCCACTGTCGACAAGAGTAGATTTGAAATACGAAATCTTATTCAAACTCAGCACTCAGTATCTCTTCTGATTCACAGTAGTTTGGACGATTGCATGAACTTCACTAAAGAATTCGCGTTTCTCAAAGCCTGGCTTCAAAGTGGCTATATTTTAGAGCAGATTGACGGAGCTGTGGACCAGGTCCCAGTCTCGAACTTATCACATTAAGGTTTCAATTTTGTTGCCGCTAAAAGAGCGCTGGAGGCTCGCAGCACTGCTGACTGGACAGGCGATCGATCGAGCGTTGTCTGTCCACGTCCAGCCCATCACGTATGAATGGGTTGCTTCAAGATCAGGGGACAGGGCAAGCGACGATGATGGGCAAGAAAACAAGTTAAGTTGTCTTAATAAGATCAAACATGGCGATTATGAGGAATTACTTGGAGATAATGACATCGGCCAGCGACTCAAAGGCACTGACTCTCGAAGATTCAGCGCTGAAACCAGGCAGCAACCGAAATCCAGCTCCAGCTCCAGCTCCAGCTCCAGCTCCAACTCCAACTCATCTGCACAGCGGCCTGGGAAATGAATGCGTTAAGTGAACTAATTGCTGCATGAATACACTCGTAGATGCATGTACGAATATCCGATTCGTAATTGAATCAGTGGTTAGGAAATCGTAGGCGGAAGCACTGCATGGGATGACATATTACAACGCAATATGAATATAGAACACACACGGGAACGACATATGGCAGAGCGACAGAGATTGGAATTAAGACCGGGATCGGGATCGCGATCGTGTGGGGATCTCGGGATCGGGACCGGGCCAGACCTCGATTTCCTATAAATACGGCGTTCACGCTTTGTTTTGAAATTATTTTTATTTCGTGCTAATTAATGGTCGGCCGATAAGGAAGCACACGATGGCGATAGTCGGCTCCGGCGCATAGATAATCCCATGGTCAATCTAACTTCGAACTGGAATTTCCAGCTAAGGCGCATTCGCAGGGCGAGGAAAGCTTAGTCAGCGTGCAATTAAATGGCTAAACCTGACCGCTTGTCACTTATGGCAGATCCCCTTTTTCACTACCCACTAAGCAGCTTGCACACTTGCTAAATTAATATTGTCAGGCAATTCGGGGACTGAAGAATTCGCGTTTCTACTGCACCATCGAGTATGATGTGTGGGATCACGTGCAGCCAGGGGGAAGAGGTGAGCAGTTCAGCAGGTGAGCGGAGCGTTGTTATCAAACTCCTTATCAGGCCGATGGCATGAAGATGCGGCCAGGCATTGTTAGTGCTGTCGTCAACGATATAATTGCTTCAGCTGGAGAAGAAGGGACAGATTAACATTTTAGCGTGAAAGAGGAGAGCGGAGGAGGAGGAGGAGCAGCAGTAGCAATCAAAGTAGGAACAGCAGCAACAACAATTTGTTAGCTCTTTACGATTATTGCCTTTCTCACACCTTATTACCAAGAATATAAAGAAGCAGCATCCACAGGGGCAACAACAAATACTCGACGATGAGACGTGAAAATAAAAAAAGAACCCAAACACACACACAAGGTACAACAAAAGGCCACAACGAGAACAAGAAGCTGCCCCTTGGAGTGGACTCGACTGGACTGGAGTGGAGAGGAGAGGAGCGGAGAGGAGCGCAGCGGACTGGACTGAAGTGGAGTGGAGTGGAGTGGGATGGAACTGGGACTGGAAAAGGAAAAGGAAGTGGGGGCGGGGGCGGAGGAGAGGCACTGGAAATCGCACACTCACAGCCATTAATGGTGTACTGCAGGTGCAAGCGAGAGGCATGCAGTTCATAAACAATCCCAACGTAAAAAATGACATACACTGAGAAAAGAATCCGGGGAGATTTCAAATTACCGCTTCGCTCGAAACCGCGCAACCCATTGTAAATCGTATTTTCCATGCGAGGATTATTTTTCTTATCCCTAGAGATGCAGATTTAATATGCAGTTAATATGATGACAATTGCTTATAAAAGCAATTGTTCGTGCCGAACGAATCGTACATTTCTCCATGTGTATAGAATGAGAGTACAAGCAATTTGTTGACCAAAAAAAGACAAAGTCATCGGCTAAAAGGATTTCAAATGAAAGAACAAGCCAAATGAGCAAGGATGAGCGAGGGGATCGCTTGTCTTGGGAGGAGGAGAGTTACTTTCCCGGCTGCCGATTTAAATGATGTCCAGTGGCTCAGCAGCAACAACAACAACAGCACCAAGTGGCACTTGCAGCTCTGTTTGCTTAATGAAACAACAGCGACACACTCACACTCACACACATACTCGCACACAAAGTAACACCAAGAGACTGTGTGAAACACCAACAAAAACACCTTGGGCAAATAATGCAGACAGGACGGCCACAGTCGACTTGGTAAATACTCATTGTTTTTTTTTCGAAATTGGCCAATTGGTATCATTACCGTAAATTTTACATGATACATAAAAGTACATTTAAGAACAACGTATCTGCAAGATATAAAGCTATCTATAAGATATAAACGTATGTATAAGATATACAAGTATCTATAAGATATAACAGTATCTATAAGATATTAAAGTATCTATAAGATATAAAAGTATCTATAAGATATAAAAGTATCTGTATGGATTTGAATGCATCAGCTCAAAGTTATTATGCTGCAATTTATTTCCAAGATTATTCTGCTCCCCGTGTAGGTCATAACTGTGCCACCTGACACCTGACCTAGAGGGTGCTGGCCTATTCGTGCCTCTCTAGACAAGCACAGCCCATTAATCCTGACTGCTACTCCCACTGATGATAACGATCACCAATTGAGTGGCAAAGGAGAGTGGGAGGGGGAGTAGAAGGAGGGGAGCCAGACAACAGGCGGATAACAACGCCTGTCTCCAAGTGGACTCAAGTGCCGCACGAGGTGGAGGTGGAGGTGGAGGTGGATGAGGAGAAGGAGGAGGAGTTGAGGAGTTAGTGTTGGAGTGGAAGTTCGAGTTGGAGGACGAGGACGAGGAGCAGGAGAAGGGCAGCGCAACGAGACACGCAGGCTGCCGGACGACCGGCAGCATAAGCAGCAAAGTCAGAAGCAGAAGCTACTTCAGAGCCACAGAATTTCGATTCCGATGAGGCGATCGTGTGTCTATATGCATGCTGGAGAGTCAGGCAAGGCGCAGTCGCAGCCGCAGCCGCTCAGCCACCATTCCATTCCACTCTACTCCACTCCACTCCACTCCATTACCAGTTCGCAGATCGCCGCAGCCAGCATACAGCTCACAGCTCCAAGGAGCTGGCAATCAAATGGCCAACGTTGGACAATGACTTTCACGCCTTTCGAGCGCGCCAAAACGAACGAATGTCAAGTACAGCCGACCAGCAGGCACCCCAGATACCCTACCCTAGTAGCTTTGGTAGTCTGATCTTAGTTTTTTGAGAAAGCTAGTGGAAATGTATTCAATTCAGATTAGTTTATAGATTTCTTTTCGCTGGGGAAGTTCAAATCAAAAAATGTCATTCGAAAAAGTTATTTTTGATAATTTAGCTATCTGTCTTGCCGTACTCAGCATTACAGTATTTTTTATCTGTGTACTTCTCACAAAAAGGCTCCCCGTTTTCAATTTCCGTTGCGTTCGATCAGCACTTAAGCCTTCAATCTGGACATCAACTCTCGATCTTTCGATCAAGGAGACTGAAAGCCCGGGGAGATATTCGTTTACTTTGGACACACCATCGCCCCATTGATGTGGGAACAAATATGCAAGTGCTTTCGCACTTTGGCGGTTGGGTTAGTTCTTATCATTGTGCTAGTGCGAGATTAACTCTGCATGTCTGACAATATTTTCACAACAATCACATAAACCTAGGATCACAGGTTAGTTATCAATTTCAAATTTGCACACTTTACGTACTCGTTGGCTGTCGCCGGGCTTTATCAAAAAAAAGGAAACAGTCGGTTCGTTGCAAAATATATGAAGGGGGCAAACAAATAAAGCTTAGTTTCGGAGCCCTTATTTCCCGATTTACATGAGCCTTCTTCAACTTTACACGTATTTCGTTGGCCGAAAGCTTTTTGGGCTCAGACAAACGCGAAAAGAGTTGGTTTTTCACACTTCAAAATCCCGCTAAGTTTCGAGGCGCGACCGTCGCACTGCAGCTCCTCAGCTCATCTGAACGATCCAACGAAAACCGGCGAACATTTAGATCGAATCGCAGTGATGCCCGCTTCTCAGTCGGATCAGTGCTAAAAACAAGGAATGAACAAGACGCTTAAATGCAAAATTTCTCTTAATTCAAATCGGACCTGTAATATAAATGAGTATCATAAAATTTTACCAACACGGAACTGTACAGCAAAATACGATTATTTCAATTCCTTAGAACATTTTTGATAAAAAGTACGTGCTTTCTTACGCATTCGTTGTGCTCCACAAGCCAGTGGACCACAGTTTAGTAACACAAAAATGCTTCTGAGTATGGATATTTGGTAAGGACTATACCTCTAACACAGAGAAAACTAGCCAAATTGGCATCACTACTACCGTTGCCTCTCTCGAACCTTCAAACAATAAATCTTAAGCACATTTTACGCTCTCTCAAACCGCTTCAAGCCGCAACCTCGCTCTTAAAAGCATTTAGTAAATTAAATGTAATAACTATTTCTTCGAGTTAAAGGCCGATATTTGGCAATTTTTATTTGGTGGTTTATTGGAAAAAATATTCCGGGTTTTTCGGCAGCAGTAAAAATATTTGTGTAAAACCAGAATGTCATACATATCTCGTTAAATTCGTGGCAAAATTCCCTATCTCTATTAAACATGGATCTTTTAATTTTTACCCTTTTTTTTCGCAAGTTTTGATGAAAAATCAAAAATCCGAACATTTTTAAAAAAATTGTTTTTCGAAACTCACAAAAACAGTGATAGGGATACTTAGCTCTGTTTAAAAACAGTCTTGTATTTTTTTATTCCGCCACTTTTTTTTATCAAGTTATGGGTAAAAAAAACCATTTGAAAATATAATATTTCGTACAATAGTTTTTATTTTGATGACAACGCCTTTTTTCAATCCATATCCCATATTCCATTCCCCTCCCAATAAAAATACGTTTTGCGGATAAAGGAAAAATACATTGATTGTGGTAGCTATTTTCATTCTTCTTATGAATACACACATAACATTTAAATACAAATACATTTACAATTGAAAATTTTCTCTACATATACAAAATATTTTATTTAAAAATAGGTGAAAAAAAAAGAATTAATTGTTGTCCTTAGGTTCGTTAGCTTAGTAAACATAATTTATGCGCCAGCGGCAGCGGAAGCAGCAGCAAAAAGAAGGTCGAATTCACTAAACGCAAATTAAAATTGAGTTTTCATTAAAATGGCTATGGTGATCGGGAATTAAATTCTTCAAGTAAGCAGCCTTTTTTTCTGTTTCCCATTTCTAAATAAGAAGACAATATTCTCAGACGAGACAGAGTATTTCTTAGTAAAAAAAACAACTTGAGGTTGATTCCATTCAGTTTTAACTCTGCTTTACGATTAATATTTTTACACGCAATATCAATAAATTTATTCCTCACAGAATTGAAAGGAGAAGTCAAAGCTTTATTTAGAACTATTATTACATGCCCATAAATATTTTTTTAATGTTACTCGTACATTTAAAAGCAAATTGAATTTAGTTAATCTCCCACAGGTTCAGATTCCTCTCCTTTTTGTAACTTTAAAAGTTTCTTCAATTAATTGAGTTGCAAATGAATTTTTGATTGATTTGATCGATACCGCTTCTGTTTTCTGCTTCGTGCACTCTGAAATCTGATTTTGATTTTGAGTTCAATTTCATTAACATCTAACACACACGGGTATTTTATATTGGTTGTTTTTTTTAGAGAATTGCATATATAACGCGCTTGTGCTAGGGGTTGCTTGGTGTTCTGCTCGTGGATTGCATCGATTTATAGTCCGAGATATCGCTACATATATCGTCGAATATAGTTTGTCGGTTGGCCTCTACCTTCGCGTAGCTTGTTTTCAAAATTCGTTGTGTTCTTGTGTAAAAAGAGATCTCAAAACAAAAGCGAACATTGCTGATTTCTTGATTTCTTGGTTGTCTCTGGTGGTAAGTATAGTAAGTTTGGTGTTCTAGTGCTGGCAAAAGTCCGGGAAAAATGTTGGGGACTCGTAGACAGGGATTCGAATATTGGTGGGGAGAGTTAGCTGAGGTTGGGTCAGTGCCCAACCGTCATAGAGCTTAATAGTTAAACTACAGATCGGCTCGTTATTTGTACGCGGCTACGTGTATCCGTATCTGAATCGCTACATCTTAAGTAAGTAAATGTATGTCCGATCCGGCATCGGCTTGTAATTATATCTAGATATCTTGTATAATTGTATATATAGACAGAGAATAGCGAACATTATTGCTCAGACCCATTAGAATAGTTGTCGGCTGCTCCTGGTGCTCCTGATGCTCCATCCAGACGTGGCAACCGTTTGCACTGTTTAATTAATATGGTGTATATATTTCATACAATATAATATTGGTGTTTTGCTGTTGCTGCTTGAAGACTAATAGTTAACGGGGCGGCGGCCACGCGGCTTGATCTTCTCGGAAATCTGCCACATCTCCTCCTCGCCCATAAAGTCCTTGAAGTTATCAAAGAAGCGTATAATGCGCTCGTTGCGTCGAAATGGATAGGCACTACACCAGAAAAAGAACGTTGCTCGTGATCAATGGAAAAGGTGATTGCAATTGAAATAAATTACCATTTCTTAAAACGTTTCATGTTGTCAATTATGTTGTACTGCTGCCAGCGCTTAGAGAAGTTTATGACGCCCTTGGACAGGTAGTCCTGGTTGCCCACATGCACAAACGTCAGATCCTGCAGAATTAGGCCGCTGGAACAAACAAGTTTATTAGCTTTGGCTTTCTTGATGCCAATGAACATCAAATCATCCTTACATATAGGGTATGCAGGGCGGATTAGTTTCGGCCAGCGCCTGTCGATAGGCGCGAAAACTGGAGCTGGAATCGATGAGGGCGCAGAAGGATCGCACCTCCTCGGTGATGCCTTTTTGCCACTCCAATCTGCAGGACAAGTGGTGTAAATGGTAAATCAATGGCTTTAAGGGACCGAAAAACCTGGCCAATGGGACCTACCTTCTTATGGGGCCCGAATCGAGGGCCGACAACAGCGCCAAATATGAGTTGTAGTTGTTCATCTTGCGCAGATGCTTCATGATTTTGATGAACTTGTTCACATGCTTCTCCCGCTCCTTGGCATCCTGTAGTCGCAGGATTTTGGAGCGCGCCCAGTAGGACATCTTGTTGAAGTGCTCGGTGAACTTGTTAAGGTTGGGCGACTTCTCCTCGCACTGATCTTTGGCAAATAGTAATACTTCGGGTATCTCGATCTTTGTGAACAGCTCCGCATCCAGCAGCGTCATCTGTTCGGCAATCTCCAGCGACTTGAGGTCCAGCAGGCTAGGCTGGTTTCCTCCCCCAGCTGCACTGCATCCACCACTGCCAGCGATTCCCGCTCCGGCAGCACCGCCGGCTCCGCCCAACTCCCCGACAAAGCCGTACACCTTGGGCTCCTTGTACAGCGCCACCTTCTCCACGAACTTGTTGCGCAGCAACTTGGCCAAGTACAATTGACCAGAGCAAACCAACTGGTAGACGAACTCCACCAGCAGGCTCAACAGCTGGCTGGTAAGATCCGTCGACCTGCATGGAGAACACAACGATAAGCACCGTATGTAGTAATTCTGGAGGAATGTTGGTTAGGTAACTCACGTTAGGTCGTTGACGACTCGGACCAGCAGCGCAAAGGTCTCCTTGGCGGCCTTCTGCTTGTTGTCCTGCACTTGACAGAAGAAGTATGTGTAGCGATGGGTCAGCTTCTCGATCACGTCGATCGGCTGGATGAAGGTGCGAAAGGTGGTGATGAAGGCCTCACAGAATGCTGCACGAACGGAATGGAAATGGACAGAGACAACAGAGGAGTTGGGTAAATGACCATGCGAATGAGATTTGGTATGTTTGTGCTGCTTCTGCTTGCGCTGCGAATGCCTACCATTGTCGGCGACCTTCTGGACACGGCTGGCGTGCACGATGAGGGCGTCTATGTAGCCGCCCTTCACCTCGGGCCCGTCCTCCTCCCTCTTCTTGAGTATCAGGTACCGTGTGATGTTGACCTCTTCCAGCATGTTGATCAGCATATCCGCTCGCTCCGCCTCCTCCTCCTCGTCGGCGTTCTCTGGCTTACCAGCCTCGTGCACAGCGACCAATGGTCGGGCCTCCACCGCTGGTTCCTCTTGCTCCTCCAGCACTTGCGGCGTGGTTATCGGCTGGTCGGCACTGATCGCGTCCTCGCTCATCTTCATCTCGCCGGGCAGCTGATGCGAGTGACAGCAGAAGGTCTCCCCATCATCGACTTCGCTCACATTCTCATTGCTGTCTAGCACGGGCGAACGGGGCTCCGGCATCGCGTCCTCGCCGGCCACTGCATCGTTCAGCTCCTCGCATACGGTGGCCATCCGACTGTCCGGCCTGCCCGTCGACCCATTCTCGCCCAGTGCCGGCTTTGGACTCGGCGGCGGCGTGGTCACAATAATGGGCTGCAGCGTGGGCGATGCAACCATGTTTGTCGCCTTGCGCTGCTTGTAGTTCTTTGGCGGCAGGGCAGGCGGCATCTCGAGCTCCGGCGACAGTTCCTTGCTCATGGGCATGATGCTGCGAAGGTGCCAACAAAACGGGGTTAGCACGTTGGATTAGCCCAATGTTGCTGCTAGATACAACTTTACTCACTTCATAGTCTGGCTGTGCGAGATGTTCCGACTTATGTTGCAGGCGTGCATCGTGTGGCGGTGCTGCTCAATGGATCGCGTGGACGCCGAACAGATTTCCATGTACGCCAGAACTGTGTGCGGTAGGTAAGGCGAAATCGTTAGCAATTTCCACTTCAGCGGCAGTGGACAGCAACCAAAACTAAGCCGATCGATCGATCCTTGGACCCCCATCCCGAAGGTCCTTGTCTGTTCACCAGGTCTACAGGAATCGCAACATACAACACAGCACAACAAGTAACAGGACTGGATAGTAACACAGAGCAGGACATAGAGCGGGTTCGGGGCTTTGGACTGGAGGTACTAGCTCTGGACGGACTCAGTGGGTTAGGCGGAGCGAAATGGAAGCCAGAAAGGGACTAGGAACGGAAACTGCAAACAGGTGGCTGCTTGGGCGCCAAGTCAATGCCAAAGCGGCGCAGCAGCAGAGTTAACAGCAGAGCAAAAAGCCTCTAGCGAACTCGAAATGCTCTTTCCCTCATGGTTTCTAAATCTCTATTAGGTGGATGGCAAACGTATAGGTTCAAGGTGACATAATCACCCCACCAAGTATTATAAAAACGCTGCCCATCTTGTTGGGCCAAGGAAATCACAGCTCCATGGCGAAATAAAGCAAATTTAACCGACAGGTGTGTCATTCAGTACAGAGAGAAAAAAAGAGCATTGCAAGCTTTCCAAGGGCGACGCAAAAAGTTTGTTTCGTGGGTGATTTTGTATTGTTTCGTTTTTGTTTGGCATTTGGCGTTTGGCAGCAAAAGTTGGCGAAGTGTTTTTGTTTCGTGTTGGTCCTCTAGTAACACACACAGACTTACCCGAAAAGGCCACACTTTGAAACACTAGATGTTGGTTGGAACGATAATTTAGATGGGTTAGACTCTTGCGTACAACAATTTGGCAAACTTTCTTGTCGCCAGCATTTCTAGGGGGTTTGCGATAATGCGGGTATGTGCTATAAATAAAATGGTCTTAAAGAAACAAACAAATCTCGAAAAACGGACTGCTCTGCCTGGCTACCCAAGAGGTGATGACTGACTGACTGGCTGATTGACTGATTGACTAACTAATTGGAGGTCTGATTGTTGTGGTGTTTTTGTTTCGTCTGATTTTGTTTGGGTTTAACGATGACGGAGCCTACTAAATGGATCTGATGGGATGGATGCCGCAACAGGAGGACGGTGATAAAGGAAACCCCTGAAATGCGCTCAACAAACACCCATTAACTTACCGCTCGGCCTGGCCTGGGCGGTTCCAAAAATGACAATTAAATGATATCAAAGTAATATACACAATATGCACAACAAAAAACACACACACGGTACGAGATGCATAACCAACCAAATCGAAAAACGGGAGGAAAATAAAAAAAATACAAAAATAAGAAAGAAAAATAGGGAGAATCGATGTAAATAAAATGTGCATCGTGAGCAAACCGACTTACTGCTCTTCTTCTTCATGGGCAGCGGCGGTGGCTCCTGGTCCAAGTGGCGCTGGTCGAACGCACTGCAGCTGCCACTCCCCGCCAGCTGGAGGCGGGGTCCCTCGATCAGGCTGTGGTGCTTGGAGTGCCACTGCTGCAGCTGCCCGGCGGACGCGGTGTGCGGATGGTGATTGAGGTGATGGAGCGGCGACAGTTGCCGCAGCTCGGCCACCTCGGACTGGCTACTACGGTGACTGGCCCAGCCGGAGGAGGACTGCGCCTCGTCCAGCTCATCACCCACTACGGGTGACTCGTGGCGGGTTAGGCTGCTCCGTTGGATGCTCTTTGGCGGCAGGGCGGGCGCCATTTCGGCCGGCGCCATCGTCTGCTGCTGCTGCTCCAGTTCGCTGCTGCTGCTGCCGTAGCCCGTGGTGGTGCTGCTGCTGGTGGTTGTGGTGGTGCAGCTGCTGCTGCTCGAGGATATTTGACGCTGGCTGTGCAACACCGACTGGCTGATCTGCTGGTACTCGCCGCTGCTTCCGACCGCCGTCGACTCACTGATGCTAAACGCAATGTCCGAATTGCTGCTGGACGACTTCGTGGATGACTGGATGCTGTAGTCCGTCGTCTGTGTGGAAGTGCGAAACTCGCGCATCGACACGAAACCTGCCGGTGGAAGGAGATTGTTACAAATAGTCAAAAATAAGGAACTCGCTGTGGGAAACAGGTAGCCAAAACCAAGCGCAAATTAAATAATATGCCGGAGACAAACTGGGGAACGGATCAGGAGGCGGGCGGAGGGATAAAGCCAACTATTTACTACAAAGGCAAAACATATGTACAATTAAGCCTAACGATAAATTGGGAGGGGATTCATTGGGCACGTGCAACAGTTACAAAATCAGAAGCGGGATTTTAAGTAGGATGACTGATGTTCTGGGTACCCGATTCGTTTGAGAGGCGATTGCTGTTAGTTTCCCCGCCACCAGTCGCTGCAGCAGCTGCACCTTCGACTGCTCCTCCAGTTCCACCAACAACACCGCCACCACCGCCAACACCACCAGTCGGAAGTGGTGTCTGCATTTTGTCCTCGATTGCGGCGCCTGCGTAACCGGTGGATTCTGTACGGGATTCGTTAATTGGGGGCGCCACCACTTGAATTGGCGAAGCCCTGCGGCAATACTCACTGTAGCTGACCAACTTGTCCATGTCCTCGTCCATCATCGCTGGCATCTTTGGAAACGACCTCAGCTGCTGCTGCTGCTGTTGCTGATGGTGGTGGTCCTCCTCCTCGCGTGAGTGATTCAACGCCGAGTCAAAGGAGCACTGACTATTCTCATCCGGTGACCGCGACCGCACAGAGAGACTGTGGAAGATACCCCAGTTAGTGATTGCTGATGGATCTTTAGTGCGCAAGTCACTTACCGATCCACGCCATAGTTCAGCAGCGAAATATTGGAACTGCAGTCCAGGTCCGAGTTCAGACTGATATTATGGGACTGGGCGTAGGGCAGGGGACTGGCCTGATTGGAGGTGGATGTCGACGATGAGCAGCCGATCCCCGATCCCGCACCAGCAGATGCGCCCGGCTGGCTGCGTCGCTTGGGCGGCAACGGCGGCGGGTTACTGGCCCTATTGGGTAGCGGTGGCTTCGGCGGTGGACTCGTGTCGCGCAGGATGCTTTCGGTGCTGTGGGAGCCGCGCATGGGGTTCACATTGTGCTGCTCCAGTATGTCGCGCTCCTTGGGCGTTAGTGCTATGTCCGGCAACGAAGTGCGCTGGGCAGCTGATTCGGCGGCTGAGACGCGCATGATTCCAGCGCCGGGAACACTCACTCCCGGCGAGGCGGTGACCGCACCCATGATCTCCGCCGCCGCTCCAATGCCGCCCAAACCAGATCCACTGTAGCGAAAGGCGCACTGGTCCTGCTCCTTCAGCTTGCCCTGCGCCAGCGTAACGAGATTCTGTGCATGAACATGAAACCATGGAATCCTTTATAAGCGTACAGTGTGTATAAGGGACGTTATGTAGACTCACCCGCACAGCATCCTCCAGAAGATCAATGACTTCCCGCACATTCTCGTTGCTCAGGGAGGGGCACTCGCCGCTGTCCTCGGAGAGCATCACCTCGTCGCAGAGCTTGATGAGCTTGCCCAGGCTCTGGTAAACCTGCTGCGTGGCGCAGCTCATGATGGCACTGTTTTCATTCAGGGTGTAGGTTTGGATCACTGCGGCAGCGAAGCAAAATGATCAACAAGATTCGAAATGGAGCGACAATGGAGTAGATACTCACCGGAGTACATGCTGGCAATGGTTTCCAGAATGACCGTGCCGTTGCCCGGCAACACCTCCAGCTTCTTCTTCAGTATGACATCCCGGAAGTGCTTCAGGGCGTTCGAGATGTCCTTGACGTGCGTCTCCAGAGTTTGGGTGGAGCGCTGCACCTCCTCGGTGGTGGGCGGCGCCTTGGAGCCGTGCTTGGTGCGCGGACTGTGCGGCGAGTGGGAGCGACCCAGTGTATTGTTGGTGGTACGCATTAGGGAAATCTTCTCGATGAGGTCGTCCTTGAAGGAGCGCGCCCGGCGTGCTAGCTTGGTGCCCTTTAGACTGTTCTTGTGGCCCGAGGATCCGGCACTGGGTGGTGCCGGTGGCACTCCGCCTCCACCACCTCCAACACCTCCTCCCCCTGCTCCGCCAACCCGACTAGATGCTCCAGGCGTGCCCTGCAGCTGCTGGTGCTGCGAGTGATGGTGGTGCGTGGGTGGTGGCGGAGTGCAGGCGGTGGAGTAGCTGCCGCTGTTGATGCTGTTGTTGCTGCTGCTGCTGCAGCCGCCACCGCCCACTCCGATGCCACTGGAACAGGCGCCGGGCGTGGATGGAGAACTGATGCTGCCGTCTGCAAGAGAAGGTATTTTGCATTAGATAACATAAGATAACATTTTGGTAGCAATTATACGAGTTGCATAACTCGGACCTCACAATTAAGCGACTAAGACTGGACACCAGATTCTACATGTACATAAGTATATAACATGGGCTCCGTCTTTCCTGTTCGAGCAGCATTCTTGAATGCCAATTTGAAAATCAAAAGTTGCCCCATATAAAACCACAATCTTTGGCAATATATGGCAATGTGGGTTTCGTTTCTTACTTTTCTGCATTTGGTTAAGTAAGACGAACACTTTAAGATCATTCTAAAGTGGCTAAGCTAGCAGCGAAATTGAAAATCTTTCAGAGAGTTAGCCAAACAGCTTGAGGAATCTTGAAATATGCATCAATGCCCCTTTACAACGAAATACAGCCTGCACATTCGACTCTTGAAACGTGTATACTTAAGAGCGCAATAATTACAGCTGAAATGAACATATGTAATACAAATTCCTAGCATTCCCATTTCGGAATCGTTCATGCGAGCACAATCACTTTGAATTCGGAACTTTTTAAAGAGCCAAAAGCCGAGAAACCGATGAACACCACCCACCAAGCGAAAAGCCCGACGAGTAGCTTTCACTTACGGCACACCGCATTCTTGAGCGGCACAGGTGTGTCCATCTCCATATCCAACTCCCTGTCCACGGTCACATCCACGTCCACATCCACATCCACATCCATCTGCAGTGGAATCGCTGGCGTTGATAGCGCCAATCGTGCCAGCTTTTTGTATTTGCGACGTCTGTGGAATTTGATGCTATGCAACGTGTTGCCGGTGGCATTGAGGCTGTTGCAGGTGTTGCTGCTGCTGCTGCTGCTGCAGTTGCAGTTGCCGCTTGGGCTGTGATTGTTGTTGGAGTCGAACGGCGACCACGACTGCCGCTGAGTCTTCCAAAGACGATGATGATTGTAGTGGTGATGATGATGATGGAGACGGGGCTGATGATCATCGTGGCTGGCACTGTTCAGATACGGATTCCGATTCGGTTTTGGACTCGGACTCGGATGCGGTGGCAATTGCTTGACCGTGTACGAATAAAAATGCCAGCGGTCGGCCAGCGCACAGTCGCTCAAAAAAGATTCATCAAACTGCGGCATAATGTTGCATAATGGCAGCACCGGCGCAACACACACGCATAACAACAATTTGTTGTGGCTCAAATATGCTTGGCCAAAACACACAAACGTTGGCCCAACTGATTTCTCCAAATAGCGATAAGCGATAGCAGCCACATTGGTTTTGTATAAAATTGTTGATTTAAGCGCGATTGCCGTCGATCGATTGCAACATCAATTCATTTTTCTGTTTTGGCTTGTTTTACATTGGTTATTTCACTTTCAGTTTTAGTTTTCGGTTTTCAGTTGTATTTGCGGGAAAGTTTTAACCAGTTTCGACTGATAACAGCTATATCCGATTGGCAATTTAAGCGATTACCGATTCTAGCTTCCTTTGGCAACCGCCAGAATTATTCTTAGTCTCAAATTACTGCGATTGGCCATAGTGATTTCCGTATATTATTTTCTTCAGTGCCTCAAAAGGCCATCAAGCCCTAATTTCCGTTTCGTACTGCTGCCCGATTCTGGTAAATTGAACGTAATCAACTCCAAAGGCACTTGTATTTGGCTTTACGTATATTTCAAGTGCGATTTCCGCAATTTTCCCAATGGCTTTCCATTCACCAACGCACAAGCATCGCACTTTTGCATTTTTGAACTTGAAATATCAACAGGCTGATTGATTCAATCGCCGATGAGCGATAAGCAAACACTTTGCTGCACTTTCAGTGCAATTTCTTTCACTTTCAAGAGCAATTTGGCGCTCTTTTCTTTGCATTTTTTTCACCATCCATCCATCACGTTGTCGCACCGTCTCCGTCACCGTCTCCGCCTCCGCAGTGGGCAATCTATCTGGTTGGCCTCTGGGTGAGATGTTGATTAAATAAATCACAAATAAAGATGATTATATTTAGATGCTGGCGCTCTGCTGCTGCTGCTGCTGCTGCTGGTGATGCTGCTGTCGCCGGCTGTCGTCGTAGTCCGTTCGCGTTGTCGTTGTCGACTGGAAAGCGCACTGAACTATGAAAATCCGCAAGCGGGCCAAGCAAAAGACGACCACCGACCAGGCGGCAAAAGCGAGTGTCCGAGTCTTGGATACCCGCTAACCGGCCAACGGCAATGGCAACACATTAGCAATATAGCCATACAGCCATGTAGCCATGTAGCCATATAGCAATAGCAGCAGCAGCACGAGAGCCGCCGAGGGAAAAAAGAGCCCCAAATGGCACTTGCCCACCTGGCAATCGCCCTCTCACCATCTCTCCTGATCTCTCCTGCTGCTCTCGCCACATAGCCAACTTGGCCACATCGCCACATCGCTCTTTCTCGCCAAGATTCATCAAACAAATCACACATATGTACATATGCACATCGCTGATAATCGAAGCGGGCTACAAAAGAATCCATTCAATGTGGCTCGGAAGTCGTTGACTATTCATTATACAAGTATATTCTACATAGTGTATATTCTCAAAGATTTGATCATTTGGCAACATTGAGACGACAAGTTATTCCACTGCTTATTTCTCGCTGTGCAGCCCGCGGTTTGCGCCTCTTTTCGCCCGGGAGGCTGCTCTCCATTCGCACAGCTCTCCCTCCGCCAATTATCAATCAGCTGGCGCACCTGAGAAATAGCCCACAGAGCCGCAAGGGGGTGGGGGGTGAGGGGGCGGCAATTGGGGGCGGTGAAGGGGCCAAGAGGCAAGAGGACGCCGGGCGGATTTCTTCAATTTGCAAGTGCTGCTCGTGACTCGCCTTGGAAATGAACTAGCTGCTGCGCAAATGGGCGAAAATCGAAGGCGTCGCCAAAAGTGACTAAAGCAAGAAAATAAATAAAAACAAAATATCCCAAGCATAAGCGTACAAAACCAAAAAACAAGGCAAAAATCGCCAGTAGCTGAAATGTATATGGAAAGCGGAAAAAAGCCCAAGTGTATCGGGTTAGCGGCTAAAAAGAAAGGCCATCATTGTTAGGGTTACTGCTTATGGCTGGAAATCGGGCCGAAATCGAGACCTTGAGTTAAGGCCAAGCTGAAATCCTGGCCAATGGCGTAATTAAAATAGAATACAGCTTGGCTGGCGGCTCCAGTGAAAAGTTCATAGTTTGTTGCCGCTAATAGGACTCCGATTTCCGTCTTTAGCTGAATTCCGGCTTATAACTCATGAAATTTCCTTTAAAATATGCACATCTATTAATGCATAGAAAATTCAGTCATACAGTTGTTTCAGTCATAGCAAGAGTTCCATTAGTTCTAACAAAATTTGGATTCCAAAAACTGTGTTAAGAAAAAACATTCCGGGGCATCGCGCAACAACGCAGCTTATAGTGGACTGTTTTCCATAAGTTCCAGGAACTAGCAATTGCAAAAGCATTTCACATTTCAGATTTCACATGACCTACTGCCCGAAATGGGTTTTGTTTTCGGCCACCCCCACCCACACCCCAGTACAAAGGAGCAGCACCAGAAGTAGCAGTCACGTTCACCCAATTAATTTGGCACGCCGCACCAAACCAAACCCGATATCACTGGAAGGCGACTGCACACAATATCGCACAATATCGCCGAGAGTGGAGAGCCACTTTGCATGATTAGGAAATTGGATCAGGCAACGGACCCGGCGGGTTTGGAGCCGCCGAGCGGGTTGGACGAGTCGAGCGGAGTCGATCAAGAGGTGATTTCAGTTCTGGTTCTGGCCAAAAAGCAGAAAAGAGCCCAACAAGAAGGCACACACCAAAACACATTCGAACAGTGCAGCCTGGCGATGGCGAACCGAGACACTTGTTCAACAGTTTTTTGTTGGCATTTATATGTATGTACATAACTAGATGTTTTCATCTTCATAAAATTTCAATAACGAGGACAATCCTTCACAGTTGCGCAATCTGTGGGCTTTAGATGGAGGTTGTGCCACCTAGCGACGCCTCACTGTACAGCAGCAAACTGGGCTAGGCGGATTTAAGGCAGCTGTCAATAGAGAAACAAAGGGGCTAGGATCGGGGTGCGAGGAGCAGAACGAGAAGCAGTTGACACCGAATTCGGTAATTGGCACACCCGATGAAGACGACGATAATGAAGATCGCTCATAAAATCAGCGGAGGCATCATCGCAATGCCATTGGGTCGCGTATGCAAAGTCCTCGTGGCCCGCAAACTTGACCAATATTCGCGAGTGTCGCCCCTCAATTGCCGACCAGTTTCAATGTTGCTGTTATTGCTATTATGCAGTGAAAACAAATACTCAGTGATCAAGATCGAGCACTTATGCCAGGCATTCTAATAATCACTTCTCAAGTCGATGGAAGTTATAGTCCCCAAATCCATTTAAGTTCAATGTGGTTTAATGCTAATGCTTTTGATTAGATAATGATTAGATAGGCGACCCCGCATTTGCACAGTGTATGTATCTTTAACCAGTTTCAAGAGATAGAGATAGAGAGATTGAGAGACTGAGAGTAAGCCTATTAGCGGTAGCAGCTAAAAAATCGCGAAATGTAAGGCGAAAGAAAAGCCAAAACCGCAAAATGTAAAATGCCGACTGAATGAGCACAGAAAACAACAACATCAGCAGCAGCAACAAATAAATAAAACAAAGCCGACGAATTTCTGTTTGGCCTATGGAATGGAATGCTATGCTTTCTAACTGCCGCGATCGCGATAGTTCCTGAACATATATGTTTATAAACATACGCACGTAACATATGTCTTTCTGAACATATGTATATATTTGGCTGCAGTTGCCCTGCACGCACATGGGCGTCCAACAAAATAATTAAAAAACAAACGAAACTCTGGCCCACATTGGGCAGAGCAATCAAAATCGAGTAAATGACATAATCTGTTGGAAAACAAAACAGAAGCAGCAATTTCCATGCAAATTGCCCATTAAGAGCAACAAAAACACAATCTCAAGTAGTCAAATCAACTAAACGATTGAAGCTGAAATGTAGGCATTTTGCTTTGCTCACTGTCGCATTAATTAGAGTAGCAATTTAACTATTTAACTAGTCATTAAGGCAATGTTTCCAATGGACCCCGCGGCATTCGTTTGACCCAAACAGCACGTGTCAAAATAATAGCACTGAATATTGACGCACTACACTTGGCAACATTAGCTTCTGCTGGCCAAAAGCGAAGTAATTACTTGTAATCATTTATGTTCGGCTGAGCACTGTTATCTTGACCGCTGCTGTGGATGCAGAGCAAATGCCTGTTAATGCCATGTTAACTTTTCGGCTGTTAACACTGCCGCTCACATGCTAATTTACATATGTACATATATGCATATACAGTGTCGCGAAATGACCAATTTTGGTGATCAAATCGTCTGTGTTTCACACCACAAAGCTCTCACTTGTGACACACCGCAGTTGTATTTGCAAATTAGCAATTGAATGTCTTTAGGATGGATTTTTAAGCCACGATCCTGAGTTGTAATTATTGATTTTGCGTTTTTCGATTGCTTTTTTTTGAACGAACAGCATAACGAGTTTTTCCCCCGGTGCAGTTGACAGTCAGGTGTGTCTTCAAAGGGCTCATGTGGATTCCATTTCATTTGACAGTCACTGATTTATGCTTGGGCATGGCTCATTAACTGATCACGACTGGTTTTCATGCCGGCAAAGTGCATCGCACAATATCCAATGTGTGGTGCACTGGGAGAAATTGCTATTGCTAACTAATACTGGCCACCTTGTTATCTTCATGTGCATCTTTCTTTACTCCTTTACCATTGGCTATTTGCTATTTGCTGTTTGCCCCCACGAAAGCCAAACATACCCCGCCCCGCTTCCCCTTCCCTGCCAATGATGACGTCACTCGCAGGTGCTGTCATCAGAAAAGTATGTGCATTTGTTTTCGCTGTGTACGATTTGTGGGATTTGTTGGAGAGAACTCAATTGGCAGCCACTGCGTATGAGCATTATTCCCACCATGGCATCGACAATGCCATCGAGTTGCTGAATTACACATCATCGTGCTTCTCCGCCGATTACTCACTCAAGAATTGTCGCTTCGCCCTTTTTGTATTTGTGTATTTGTGTTGTTTTGTTGTTTTCTTGTTTTGTTGTAGCTAATTTTCCAGCCGCCGTGTATTATTTAACTTTTCACCCCGCGCAAACAAACGGAAAAGGAAAAGCACACACCTAAAAAGTATATGCGGCCACTTGAGTTCCGATACTTTTTCGTATATGTACATACATGCACATATATGTTTATACGAGTATATAATATATTTTCTTTTTTTTTGGGGTTCTATAGTTCTTCGCCGATGGAGTGCGTCGGTAAAAGGCCTGTCGTCCGTTCCCGGCAACGGTTAGATAACTTTTGAACAGCTCGTCGTCATAATTAATAATGCGCTGCAAACAAACAGCCCGAAAAAGCAGCGAGAACAACTAAGGAATGGCACAAACAAAAAACAACCAAGTCGAAGAAAACCAAAAAAAAATATAAAAAAATAATAACACGGAAAAAGAAAACTCTCAAAGCAGCGTAAACGAAAACGAAACTAAATTTTTAAACGCACTGAGAACAAAAGCTGTGCTCAAATCGAGATTCGAATTTGCACTACAGACATACTTGCAAAATGTGTATTCCTGGGTATTCCAAATTTCGGACACTCATTAGTCATAGTTATTGGCGATAAGCCATATACCATACACAAATCATGAATAATCGTATTACACATAAGTTGATCCAAAAGAAATTCCTATTAATTTCTTAGAATAAGAATGATTTTCCAATTACAAGACATTTTACAAACGCTCGATTAGTTATTGACGCACAAGAACATTTGATCGATACATGGTAATGTTTAAGTACTCATCATAAAACTTGTTTGTCCGCTGCTTTAAGAACTTTACACAG